GGCCAAATCTGATGGAGGAAGACAAAATCACACGTTAATTTACAATGCAACATGTGGCAGCTTTTATAACGTTATTTAACACCTCCAAGAAAGGTACCACTGGACTTTTTGTCAACTTCCTGTCCTAAAATAGCCATATTGTCTTTGCCCACCTGTAAGTAATCCCAATAACTTAGTGAATACAATCAATTTAAGACATTTTATAAATAATTAGAAGGCATAATTTCATTTGACATGCTTTCAATGCACCATCTGCTGGTATTCGGTTATTTTAGTACTGCCTTGGGCTAGTGGATAATCTGTTTTACATAATTGTGTCCATTTCAGAATTTGCTGTAATTCAATGAAAGCTTATGAGAAGATTCATTTTAAGCCGAACTATAGAGAATATTCCACAGATTCCTAAAACATCCCAACGTTTGTTATATGTTCCGTATAATTGGATTTATAAGCAAAAAAAGTGTTAAAATAGCAGATTTTTGGATGAAGATTTGCAGCTGTTACATAACTGATGACATCTGTGAGTTGTTAATCTGTTGGTCATGTGTCTCTGCCTCTTTAGTATGTTACAGCACATGGAAGCTTAGGAGATTTTCAAAAGGATGTTTGCATCCAATTCAACAGCTGCTGCTCAATGGAAAAGAGGCTTTAAGGACCATCTTTTTCAAGCCGAATAACACTAACTATCCCAGTGACCCCTACTAAAACCAAAATGTTGATCTATTAAGTATACAGTTAGATTAATCGGCAAACAAGTATTAAATATGCAGATTTTTTAATGCAGGTTTGCATCCAATTGAACAGCAGCTGTGCAATGTAAACAAAGCTTGTAAGACCATCTATTTTGAGCCGAATTATAGAACATATCCAACTGACTCTTGAAACATCCCAACTTGTGTTATATTAAGTATATTTTTGAACTTATGAGCAAATAAATGTTAAATATGCAGATTTTCCAATGGAGTTTGGTGACCACACAGCAGACAAGGGAAAGGGGGGAATTGTGCATTACCTGAAGAGTATCCTGAGGATGTTAGCCACCAGAAGGACCAGGCACACATATGTAGAGAAGCCCTCAGCGTTTTGGGTCCGGCGGATGTCTCTGTATTGCGGGATGTAGGGCACCAATCCCCCGAAAACCATGGCACCAGCAGCCACCCAAGTTACCAGGCTGTGAAACACGGCCACAATCTGATCAAACATCTCATCCTCCATCTTCAGATGACTCCCAGAAGGTGTGAAGTGACGCCACCCGGTTTAATTGACACTCGTATTGTTTTTGAATGGAGCAAGAAGAGGATATCCGTGTTTATCGTGCATAATCACATGCAAAGACAAAGAGGATGTTTTACTGCCACGACATCACAAGCAAGGCAGATAATTGGAAAGCAGCCTGGAGCTAAAACATCAAGAGATTAAATCCCAAATATGTGTTAAGGTGCAGTGCAAAGAGAAAAACACTACAAAAAAACAGCGCTGGTTTTTGCAGCTGGTACTATCCAATGTGTCTAATTCAACACTTTTGTGCAGTTAGATTGCGTTGTTTTGATGCAGCTTCACTAAACTCAGAAGAATAGACTCCCAAGGTTCCTGAAAATGTCATGGAATGTAATGTTCTGCATTAAAGGATCCTTATTGCAATAGTTTCCTCACTGACTGGCCCAGTGTGTTTCTTTTGATGAGAGCCCACACTTCCTGAAACGTAATGTGTTTAGTCAAAGATATTGGACTACGTCAAGATAGTTCTCTCTTTAATCATACACGGTTTGCAGTGACAAAAGGCTTCTTTAATTTTAAATGAATATTATATTTAAAGTTAATAAAAAATGATCCGTCAAATTGTACTAAACTGTTTTGTTATCGAAAAAATAACTGCGATACCAATGATTTAGACAATTGAATTGGCCCCGTTTGTTACTTCAGGAAACGTCACGGGTTACAACAAAGATATTCAACTCAACCAAGATAGTTCACATCCTACCAGAAATGATGTGTTTTACCGCCTGATGCTAAATTACCTCAGGTTTCTGAAACTGTCACGAAACTTGAAATAAAACAACATGTTTTTCTTCAACTGGCTCTTATTGCTATTCGTTTCTCACTGACTGGCCAAAAGTAGTATTATTATTTGTATTACAGCCCACACTTATGGAAAAGTAGCGCGTCATGCTTTACGACAAAGATGTTCGACTGAATCAAGATAGTTAACATCCTACCGGAAACGATGTGTTTTACCGCCTGACGCTAAATTAGCTCAGGTTTCTGAAACTGTCACGAAACTTGAAATAAAATCAAACATTTTTCTTCAACTGGCTCTTATTGCTATTCGTTTCTCACTGACTGGCCCAGAGTATTATTATTTGTATTACAGCCCACACTTATGGAAAAGTAGCGCGTCATGCTTTACGACAAAGATGTTCGACTGAATTAAGATAGTTAACATCCTACCGGAAACGCTTTGTTGAACCTCGGAGAGCAAATATTGGTTTATTGAATATGGAATGAAAGTTGAAATAAAATATATATTATTTGTATTGCAATTGTTTCTCACTGAAAGGTGTTTCTTTTTATTAGGTCCAACACGTCTAAAAACGTAATACATCAAGGGTTACAACAAACTCAGCCAAGATAGTTCACAGTCTAACATTAGCGCTTTGTTGTAGTACCCGAAACTAAATTGTTTTGGGTTTCACGTGTCTTGACACTTGAAATATAATATATATTTGATTTTCAGTGTCTCAGTGTCACTGACTGAGCCATTTTGTTGTTTTTATCAGGTCCCATACTTCTTTTAAACGTGATGCGTTTAGTCAAAGATATTGGACTACGTCAAGATGATGCCTACACTTCCAGTACCGTAATATGTTGTGCGTTACGACAAAGATGTTTAACTCGATCAAGAATGTTCACATCCTACCTCATCGAAAAATCATCCCAAAACAAAATGATTTGGGTGTTTTTTTAACTGGTAATGAAACCTAATATTATATTAAAGTTTCTCTATTATACTTTTCTTCTCAATTGAAATTGTTTCCAAACTGACTGAACCCATGATTTTTTTTAGAGCCCACACTTTCTGAAACGTAATACGTCACGCGTTTGATCAAAGATATTGGACTACGTCAAGATAGTTCACGCTTTGATTGTATAGGATTTTCAGTGAGAATATGCCGAAAAGAGATACTACAGACATATTGAATAAGTTCCCCGTCATGCAGTAAAGTTTGTATAAATATACATTTGATCAAGTTTGTTTAAGGACTCTAAAAGTGTTTAACCGCCGTCTGCCGTAGTTACAATGCATTTTCTGATGTAATGTGCTGTAGTGACCACAAGAGGGCGCCATTGCTTCGGAGTAGAAAGAGAGAGCCCAAGAAAATACATAGCCTGTATTCTGTCGATTATTTATTTAAGTGTTTTGCCTTTAAAATATGGATACTTCCTGCTTTTCTCTGTTTTATATCATAATAAACTGAGTATTTGGGGTTTTAAATAAACCTCCTTCGACTTTGGTCTGCTGAAAAAGACACATTGGTTCACTTTGAGCTAATAAAGAGTTAAATTAAGATAATGTAATTATATTATTAGACCACAGAGGTTTGATTGTTTACATGCAGCTTTGGTATTACATTAGGGTTTATTATGAGTGTGTTTTATAAGCTAGTGTATCTCCCTAATTGCTCTTAAAAGTAAGGTTCTTTCACAATAAGAGCATACAAAAATAATTGGCAATATTTTTTGATAAACATTTAATTTAAGTAGTTTTTAACGCAAAATATTTTAATGAATGATTTGTTCAGTCTTTCCAATATGGAGACTTCTTGCTTTTCTCCATTTAATGTATAATTAAAAACTGATTATTATTGTGTTGTAGGCTGACAAGACATTTAAAGAAATCAGCTGGGACTTGAAAGAAGGGTCATTTCACAATAAGAGCTGCAGAAAACACTAAATATTTTGACTCTTGAAAAAAGGACATTTAAATGCAAAGATGTCAGACAATGCTGTTAAGCATTTAAATAAAAAAAATCTTGCTTTTCTTCCTTTAATATCATAATAAAGTGGGTTTAAACTGACAAAACATGTTGTATATAATGCAAAAATTGTCAAAAAAATGATGTTTTCTGCCTCTCCAATATGGATATGTCCTGCATTCTCCGTTTATATTACTATACACTGAATATTAAAAATATGGACTGACAAAAGCATTTCAATTTATCATATTTGACTTTTTGTGAGATTTTACAGACCAAGATTATTATTCAATGAATCTAGAAAAATAATCTGCATATTAATTGATAATAAAAACATTCAAACAGAACATGAAGGTCTTCTGTATGTATGATAGTTAAATATATATGTAAATATGAGCATCCTTCAATGCACAGATGGAAAAAATGACCGTGCATTTAATAAGAGCAGTGTGTGTGTATATGTGTGTCCTAGCATTACTACCCTTGTGGGGACCTACATCTATTTACAGAGTTACATGTGGGGACTCGCCTCCCTTATGGGGACATACATTTTAAATTAATACATTTTAGGGTGAAGACTTGGTAAGGGTTAGGCATGTGTTGGTTATGGTTAAGGTTAGGATAAGTCTTCAGGAAATGCATGTATGTCAATGTAATGTCCCCTGAAGTGATGTATACATGGTGTGTGTGTATATGTATGTGTGAGGCCTAGCATTACTACCCTTGTGGGGACCTACATATATTTACACAGTTACGTGTGGGGACTCGCCTCCCTTATGGGGACATACATTTTAAATTAATTAATTTTAGGGGGAAGACTTGGTAAGGGTTAGGCATGTGTTGTTTATGGTTAAGGTTAGGATAAGTCTTCAGGAAATGCATGTAAGTCAATGTAATGTCCCCTGAAGTGATGTATACATGGTGTGTGTGTGTGTGTCCACATATCAAAGACATCAGCAGAACACACTCCAGGTGGTTTTAACCCTGCTGTGTGCATGATGGTGGAAAAATAAATGAATCCACAGCAAACGTCTTACGAAGATTTAATGTACATTTATTCTTAACACGTGGAACATATAGTATAAAGATTTCATACTGAATAAATGATATTCATTAAGCCAAAAAAAAGGGGGAAAAGGGAGGAATTTACATCAAGTTTTTAGCTACATCATCTGAAATACAAATATGCAGAATCCGCATCACTGGAGAAAAAAAATGAAAAAAATAAACAAAAAAAATAAAAAATGGTTTCTTCATCAAGGTTGTCATTTTATGGGAGGAGCTCAAATGGATCATGATTTTTGTTATATTTCTCTAAAACCCAGTCTGTTGAGGAGGAGGAGGAAGTCAAGTAATCACATGACTTGATGCAAAGAGGAGGGGGAAACTCGTCAAAGATTAAAAACGGTGAAGAGCAACAGAAGAAGAAGGATAGAGAGGTGTAATGTACAACATCATATTTACACGCAGCTCGGACTGCATCTAGCATCGAGTCCTAAAGAAGTGACTTTTTCAATATAAGGGTCAAGTCATACAATCAAGGGACAAAGAGTAAAGAGGTCGGGGTGTTGTAGGTTCACCAAACTTTGGGGGGAAAGCCGTTGTTTTTCTCTCTTTAATAATAACTAAAACTGTCTTTTAAAAACTACAGTTTGCTGCCAAGCCAGCGTATCTCAGTGTGAAACAGTATTATTATTACAGTATGTTTACAGTTCTTAAAGGTACAGTACAGAAAAAAGTCCTACAATCTAGGCCTCCCCATGGCAGCCAATAGTGTGGTTTCTCTCCTGTGGAGTAAATATAGCATCCAGAGTTTTACAGCAACACCACAGTCCATAATATCGTTTAGTCCGTGCCCCCCCCCCCCCCCTCCCCCTCTGCCGACCCCCCCCAAATTCACTGTAAACGAGACAGCAACTTTGGTTACAGTTTTTTTTTTCTAGAGTTTTTTTTATATCTTTTAATTAAAAAACAAAGTCCTTTATTCGCCCCGCCCCCCGTCGCCCCCCCCCCCCGTCGCGTCCTATATGCCCGATGTTGATTTCTGCTCTTTTTCAGAAAATCCACAGCTACTTCATGATATTCCTTCCTTTTTAGTGAGAAGCAGGAGAAAAAGGGGGAGGGGGGGTGAGGAGGTGAAAGGGGGGGAGGAGGAGGAGGCAGAAAAAACAGACAGTGGAATCCGAGGTGATTTTGCATAAATAAAAAAAAAAAACAACAAAAAAAAGTCAGTTTTGCTCTTTTTCACTCGCAACAGACACACCGAACAAAAAGGGGTTGTTGTTGTTTTTTGAGGAGGAGGAAGTCGGGGAGCGAGAGGCAGAACGGAAACCTCCCCACGGCTGTCATGACTGTCCGATCAGGAAAAGTACGTCACAGATCACCTGGGTAACGGAGGAGTTCATGAGGGGGGAAACGGAGACGTCCAGTAGCCTCGACTCGAATAAAGTGAACTCCGAGTGGTTTTCCTCCACCTTCGCGAGGGCGTGTAGCGCTCGGGCCGCTCGCCGCATCATGTCCACGCTGGTGGGCTCGTACTGATGACCCGTTTGCATCATGGAGCTCTGGTTCTGCTGCTGGTACTGAGTGGCGGCCAGACTGTCCTCCAGGAAACCCAGAAGATTCCCCACGCTGGCTTTCTGCACCGCGATAGCCCGCGCCGCTAAGCTATCTCCCCGCGCCAAGTTAGCCAGAAGCACAACGGCCATTTCTCGACACACGGGAACTTTTCGCTCGCCGACTAAGCGAACCAACGATCCGTACAGTTTCTCCAGGCGGCTGAAAGGAGGCGTGGCCAAGATGAGATCCACGTTGTTGTCCTGGATGCTGAGTTTGCTGAGAGTTTCCAGGACGAGTCTCTGCGGGGAAAGAGAGCTGAGGGGTCCTAAAGTCGGGAAGGGATCGAGAGCTTCGGCTGACGGACAGACGGCCCAATGGAGCAGGCCGTCCAGCAGAGGCAAACAGATGCTTTCTGGGTAAACTGAGAGGTTCAGCTGGCCCGAGATGTTGGAGAGCGTCACCAGGCAGTTCTCACGCAGAACCTGTGGGGAGAAAAGGAAAAAACACTTTTAAAAATAGACAATGCAATGCATGAAGAAATTGCGGTGTGAATGCTGTATGCTGACATCTGATTTAAAAGTTGTGTCAAACGAATAATGTCGTAAAAGATGTGTAAATCTAATCTATAAAGTTTGAATGAAGTTTACAAAAACCTGTCCTCACTGCACCACAGTGTGATTAATCTCTAATTTAGAAACACTTGCTAATCATTGATAAATGTAATTCATAATCCTCATTCATATATCAACTTGTTGACTTGCCAATGCCATTGTATAATGTTTTTCGGCTGCCTTTTGTTGAAAGACGCTACATAAATAAACTTGCCTTGCATATCCGCCCTCTGAGGGTATTCTCTAATCACCCTCTCAACACTCATCTATTCACTCTAGCTTTCAAACTCTGATCAACAACCCCACTTGTCTTACGCAGCGTCCACACGGCGGCGTGCGTTGAAGCTTGCCGGTGGGCGTGTCTGAAAGTCGACCAATAACCAATCACATGAATCTCCCGCCCCGGACACACAAGCACGGTTTGATTGGCGAGAGCTTGTACTGGTATATCAATCAATCAATCAATCAATGTTTATTTATATAGCCCAATATCACAAATGTTACATTTGTCTCAGTGGACTGCATATGATTTGATTGGCTGACGCTTCCGCCGAAGCTTCAAAAGTAGAACATTGCTCAACTTTTGAAGCAAGTAAAGCGAAGCGACGGAACCACAATGCAGTTCGGCAAAACGTGGCGTCACCCCATTCAAAGTGAATGGGCACGTCGCCGTGTGGACGTGCCGTTAGGACTACTGTTTCTGTCTTTTTGTTTTCTTTGTACTAGTGTTGCTCTATGTCCCTCCCCTCTCAAGCACGCTCTAAGTCCCTCCCCTCTCAAGCACGCTCTAAGTCCCTCCCCTCTCAAGCACGCTCTAAGTTCCTCCCCTCTCAAGCACGCTCTAAGTCCCTCCCCTCTCAAGCACGCTCTAAGTCCCTCCCCTCTCAAGCACGCTCTAAGTCCCTCCCCCCTCAAGCACGCTCTAAGTCCCTCCCCTCTCAAGCACGCTCTAAGTCCCTCCCCCCTCAAGCACGCTCTAAGTCCCTCCACTCTCAAGCACGCTCTAAGTCCCGCCCCTCTCAAGCACTCTCTAAGTCCCTCCCCTCTCAAGCACGCTCTAAGTCCCTCCCCTCTCAAGCACGCTCTAAGTCCCTCCCCTCTCAAGCACGCTCTAAGTCCCTCCCCTCTCAAGCACGCTCTAAGTCCCTCCCCTCTCTCGTCCCGCCCCTCTCTCGTGCACGCGCTAGCTGCCAGAGCATGTGAGAAAACGAGAAGCATGGCTGCAAGTGGGAGTGCAACTGCCGCTGCGCCTCGGCTTGTTGACAAAAAAGACGGCAGAAGCTAAATTTGGAAGTATTTGAGCGATATCTCTGACAGTGAGGGCAAGCCTACGGACTCCACGAGGCCTGTCTGTGAGACATTTATTAATGTTATTTAATACGAACTCTTGTCATTTATTGTTCTCATTGTTAAAAAGTGTGTGTTCTGGTTCTGGTGTGAAATAAAGCACAATAATTACATTTAAGACTGTTTCCCTTTTTTTAAGAAAAGTATCGAAAAAGAATCGGAATCGCAATTCTTGACTTGGTATCGAAGCCAAAATGTTGGTATCGTGACAACACTACTTTGTACTGTTTCTGATTTTATGTAAAGCGTCTTTGAGCACTAGGAAAAGCGCTATAACAATCCAATGTATTATTATTAATCCAATTACTTGTATATAGACTGTTCTGCACTATTTCTATTATATTATATTTACTTGCGCTATAGAGAGGCGAAGTCCCTCCCTTTCCGGTGGAACTCCTTATTTCGGAAAAATCATGCATTGAAGTCAATGGAGAGAGAAAGATTATCTTTCGATCCCGTTTGAATTGTGCCACGAATTACACATATGATGTTTGTCAATTTGAGAGCCAGCAAGCGGGACCGGGATTCTGGGATTTGTAGTCTTTCTAGTTGTGTATTTTTCATAGACTTATATTTCAACAGTTTTACGACAAACTGACTTTTTTGACTTGGAAATAATTTTTTAAGATTGACCAACATCATATGTAGGGCTGCTCAATTAATCGTATTTTAATCGTATTTTAATCGTATTTTAATCGCGATTACGATTACGGCTTGCAACGATTACGAAAACAACGTAATTGAAATAAAACGATTATTTTTTTATTATTCTTAAAATTATTATTATTATTTTTTGGTTTTTCAGTTGAGTTATACTTAAAGTTCAGGGTAATCAACTGTTCAAAACATTCTGTTAAAAAAAAAATCCAATAAATTGATGTTTTCAAAGTAAATGGATAATCGTTTTTAATAATCGTGATATCAATTATTGACCCAAATAATCGAGATCCTGGTCTCAAGTACAGGTGGCAATATCGTCCCCTGCCTGCGCTCATCTCTGAAACCAGACCATGTAAACAGCCTGGTGTTTATTGCAAAACATCTTTAAGAGATGACATGAGCAGCCCTACCAGCATTTGCCATGGTGGCCAAAACATTTTTATTTGGTCTTAAATTGTAGTTCAACATTTATTTCCTGTTACTTCTGGAGCATGACGGTTGGCCAGACTTTAATGTTTAACTGAGTGGAATATGTTGAATATGTTTTACCAAAATGTTGGCTATATGTTAAGGAGTTTTCAGGTTGCACTGCAACATGTTTGTTGATCTTGTTTATTGGTATTTATTATTTTGATATTTTTTATTTAAATGTAGACATGAATGTATAATTTATTTTGTATTGGTTTTTCAGTTGGTTACCCTGAACGTATAATTCAACAGTTAAAACGTTCAAATTATTATTTGTATTTGTTTTAAAGTACAATAAATGGATGTTTTCAAAGTCAATGAATAATCGCATTTAATAATCGTAATTACAATTATTGACCCAAATAATCGAGATTATGATTTTTCCTATAATCGAGCAGCCCTAATCATATGTGTAATTCGTGGCACAATTCAAACGGGATCGAAAGATACGTTTTCTCAATACATACTTTTTCCGAAATAAGGTCCCATGGAAGTAGATGGGCGGGACTTCGCCTCTCTATTGTATCTGTTTTATTTTGTTGCTCTGTTAGAGGAGCCTGTGACCCATCTACACTGTAGCTATGAACACATGATAATAAAAGCCTTGAATCTTGAGCCATTACCCTCATAAATGAATACCCACGCTAATGTATTAAAGTACGTTAATTATTCTTCCACAAACCTCCAGGCAGTCCCACCACCACTCGTCCCGTTCACAGCTCACTCCTTCATCCTCCTCTTCCTCCTTTTCGTAGGTAACGGGCGCCTGCTTCCTCTCGGGGTGCCTGTGGTGCAGCAGCACGAGGCGGCCCAGCAGCAGCAGGAGGCCCGGGTGTTTCGACATCTCCAGGTCGTTTCCCGGCACGAAAGAGAGGCTCCGCAAGATGTTCGAGATGCAGATGGAGCGGCGAGAAAGCGAATCCTGCCAGTCGGACAAGGAGCTGAGCGGCCTTTCGTCTTTGCTGTGAGGCTCGTCTTCCAGGATCTTGATGTTGCGTCGACTCTGCATTTCGGGGTTAATACTGAACAGATATTTCCCGTTTTCTTTCTGCTCTTCGGCGCCTCCTCGAACCACTTCTTCCGTGACGGATCCAGGTAGAGCGAAAAGGACGTCGTCGATAGTGGCGGTGACGGGAGGAATAAGAGTAGGCGGCGGTTTCTCCGTGTTTTCCGACTCGTCTCTCGTGCCCACCTTCTTGCGGTTCTCGCTGTTCGTCGTCGGTTTGCGTTTCCGCAGCTTCAGGAGGTCCGATCGGCTCTCGAAGTGCGTCTGGATGTGCTCCGTCGTGTCTCCTCCGCCGATGCTCCAGTGGGTCAATCCGCTGTCGAAACTCTGCCTCTGCAAAGACGCCAGATTCAGCAGGAAGGGGTTTCTCTTTCGCACCACTTTGAGCGGGAGTTTGTCGAATTTACTCGCCTGTTTGGGCTTTTCCGAGTCAGAGTTCTGCGAAGTGACGGGTTCTTTAACAGGTGACTCTTTCTCCTCTTCCTCGTCCTCTGAAGACGGCTGTTTCTCCTCCAGCTTCACCTGAACCAGCGACGAGGGAACGACGACTTCCTCTGCCTCCTCCTCGTCGTCTTCCTCGTCTTCTTCGTCCACGTCCATTTCCTCGGAGATTGGGTTTTCGTCCACGTGGTCCTCGGCGGCGTTTGGGTCGATGAGCGTTCGCTGGCCGGGGTCCCCCACTTCGTACTCCTTTAAGATGCCGAAGATCTCGATGAGGCAGCGTCTGAAATATTCCACCACCAGCTCCAGGAAGCCCGGCAGCTGAGGAGCAGAAAGAAACCAAAACTATAAACTCACTGCGAAACTCCTCTCAACTACTAAAGCACTAAATGGAAAGGCACCATCATGTCTGTATAGTGTGTATAGCTGTGTGTGTATTGCATGTGCACCGTCCTGTGTGTGTGTGTGTGTGTGTGTGTTAAACAAAAAAATATATACAAGCCAGAGTGCTACATTTTATGGTATTTAATTTTATTGTTTTCATTGTATTTGTATTGGTGTGTTTTGTTTGTATCTATATTAATTGTATTTCACATTCTGTCTGTCTGTGTGTGTGTGTGTGTGTGTGTGTGTGTGTGTGTGTGTGTGTGTGTGTGTGTGTAGGTGTGTGTAGGTGTGTGTGTGTGTGTGTGTGTGGGTGTGTGTGTGTGTGTGTGTGTGTGTGTGTGTGTGTGTAAGTGTGTAAGTGTGTGTGTGTGTGTGTGTGTGTGTGTGTGTGTGTGTGTGTGGTGTGTGTGTGTGTGTGTGTGTGTGTGTGTGTGTGTGTGTGTGTGTGTGTGTGTGGCGCGTACCTGGCACAGGTTGAAAGTAGTGATGCTGTTGTCGTCGTACAGCAGGATGTTGATGGTGTCCAGAGCCCAGGTGCTCTCAGCCAGTAATCCTGACTTTAGAGACATCATCACTCTCCAGGCCTCAGGGGTGCCTGTGGAAAGAGAGGAATGAATAAGTTATACTCTTAAAGCTCAGGACATTTATATAAAAAACATGTCTATGAAGTGTTTTGCTCAAAATACCAAACAGATCATGCATTTTAGACATCCCGCATATCCCTCTGTTTCAGCCCTGTTACTAAAGTGCTGATTACACATACTCTCTCCAGTACAGTACAGGTTAGCTCTGAGTGCTAGCGATGCTTGCTAATGTAAACAAAGACCATATTAGGTCCAAAGCACGTCAGGCATTGTTTCTGATAGCAACAATTCTGATAGGCCCGTGGGTCTAAAGCCCGCCCACATTTCAGATATTACGTCATATCGGACGCAAATCCGTTTTTAGAGATGTGGGTATGGAGGAAAAGAGTGAGGGGTTTTGTTTTCTGACACTTTGTGAGTTCCCTGACACACCGGGGACACATATTTATGTATAATGGGAATTAAAAAAGTGCATTTTGCATGATAGGAGAGCTTTAAAACCTGTTTTTTTATTATTATAATTATTATTTATCATTAACAATGAGTTAGATGTAAATAAAGTCTCAGTACCGATTTCTTTGACGGTGAGTCTCCTTCGGGGCTTCAGATGTGGCTGCGATGCTTCCACAGATCCGGGGGGGAAAGCCACGTCTCTCCGGATCATCGGCTGCTGAACGGGGGCGTGTCCAATGTGAGAGGCGGGTATCGGGGGTCCTGCTTTCTGTACTTTGATGCCCGGGTGCATGTACGGAGACTTGCTTGGCGACGTCCTACTCTCCATGGGTCGTGGCATTGGCGTTGGACTGCTTCCCTGAGGAATGTGGTTCTGAGAGGTCTGATAGGTGGACGGTAGGGGGCGTGTCATGGGGGGTCCGGAGCCCCCGGGGCCAAAAGGAGGCTGCCTCTGATGACCCGGCCACTGACCACCATCGTGATTCATCCGCTGGTCTCCTGGCATCATTTCCTCTGAGCGATTCATGCCGTGATACCCGGGGTTTTGACCCGCTCCTTGTCGATTTGGGTAATTATAACCCATTTCGTTGCGTCCCTGCCACATGGGACCCTGGGGGCCTTCGGGGCCCGATGGCATGGCGCTCGCCATCATCTGAGGAGGCATGGGAGACTGGGAGTTTGGCCCTGAAGACGAGGGGACGCGCTCTCGTCCGAAGGGGAAAGGGAACTGGTTCTGGGGACCTGGGGGTCTTCGTTCTCCTCCAGGATACGCGTTGTACTGGTTGTACATCTCCTGTTGGCCCGGGGGCCCCGAGGGCTGGGGGCCCGGCTGACCGCTGTAGTTGTACATTTCCCCTTCGTGGCGCTTCGCAGGAGGGCCGTAACCCCCGTCTACTGGACGCTTGTAGTTCTGTGAGGAAAGAAAACCAAAATAGTCATTAAGAAAATTAAAATAACAATATATATTATTTCACATTGGAGGAAAAAAACAAAACATTTCAATTATTTCAGGTGGGTTCTCAGTCTGAAGACATGTATCTGATCCATATTGTCTTTACACAAACAAAATACCTTTATGATGATATGTTTACTACATTTCCATAATAAAAAACACCTGCATCCTTTGGTTTAATAACTTTATTGCTTAATGCCATCAAGGACAAGACATTAATCTTTTTTCTATATCATGTTCTAATTACATTTTCATGTTTTTCTTTATTTTGCCAAATTGTGATTGTATAAAATCTTTAAGGACCCCTGTTGAAACCAGATGGTTAATCTCTTTTATTAAAGGTCACCTATCATGCTATTTGTAGGCAATAGCATAGGTCTCAGATATATAAAAATATATAAAAAAGATCACCCATTCTAGCCATGCCTCATATCCCTCTATTTCCCTTCCTGTTTCAAACGTGCTGATTTGGGGATAAAGCTTTAGGAGGGGTCTGAGTTCATGCGGGACCCGGCAGCTACTGTCTAAACTAAATGCTGCCGTGATGAAACGCCATATCATGGATCATCAAGGATTCTCTCTGAAACAGTTTGGAGCTCAAAGGCTTTCTCTCTTGCCGGTTATACCACAAGGTGAGTTCCTTTTTACTTCCTGCTTCTTCACACACATGCTCTCCAGTACAGGTTAGCTCTGAGTGTTAGCGATGCTAATGTAAACACCGACCATATTACGTCCAAAACAGTCGGGCATTGTTTCTGATAGCAACGTTTCTGATTGGGCCGTGGGTCCACATTTCAGATATTACGTCATATCGGACGCAAATCTGGATCAGCTCCGTTGTTCCCCGTTTTTAGAGATTTGGGTACGGAGGAAAAGAGAGAGGGTTTTATTTTCTGACGCTGCGTGAGCTCCCTGACGCACCGGGGACACATGGTGATGGGTCGAGGACATCAAAAAGTGCATTTTGCATGATAGGTTCCCTTTAAAGAATGTCCCTACTTGAGTATCTTAATCAATAAAACAATAATTATGGCTTAACACATTTTTCTGTCTGATTATTTTGTAATTCTTTACTTAAAATATTTGGCTAAATTGTGCTATATTGAATAATAATCGTATTATCTTTTGGACCCCCCCTTGAAACCAGATGGTACATCTCAAGGATTTATTCCAAACAAGATTAAAACATGTATGGCCTGCCTCTGTTCAATAGGATGCAAACACAGGTAGGTAAGTGTGCGTTGACCGTCTTCTGGTAATGTTGTATTGTTTTGTAAGCGTACTGTTCAATGTATCATAGGTCCAATTCATAGTGACTTTGTATATTATATATTAAAAAGTTTTAGCTTGTATTGTCAAAATGACACTCATACGGTCTGTTATGTGTGATTGCACCATCGGGAATGCTTGGAATTTCGCTGTACTCTGTGTAGTGACAATTAAGGAATCTAATTTGACGCATTTATAGTTAAATATAAGGATAAATAAGATGGAATAAGAGCGCTGAACAAAATGTTCTCACCGGCTGCTGCTGAGGATACATTCCTGGCTGCTGATTGGGATACGGGCCACCAGGGGGCGCTCCTTGGCCTGGATACTGATTGGTGTAGGACTCATGCCTGGAAAAAAACAATAACAAACCATTATATTTCACCTTTCATCATCACAGTCAACAACACTGTAATCCTCCTGTCTTTTTAAAAGCGATAACGAGCAAGATATCTTTAAAAAAAACATTTCTCTCCTTAAAAAAAATACGGTACATGTTCCGGTATTAAAGTAAGAGTAATACCACAGTGTAGTAAAACAACCTGCATTCTATATTTTACTTACAATTACAATTTAAAAGCACTCATTATGCAGAGTAGCCCTTTTCGTAAAGAACAAAACAACAATGAATTCCATCCTGTGTTCATCGTTTTAATTCCGCAGCTGGAAAAGGTAAAGCTAATTTAAAGTGGACCTATCATGCTATATTGGAAACATATTGTAGGGCCATACCTATACAAAACTGGTTGTGAAGTTTTGTGCTTAAAATAGCAAACAAATCCCCCATTGTAGCCATTGCTCATACCCCTCTATTCCAGCCCTGTTAATGAGCTAATGCCTGATCAGAATTCTGCCGGAGATAAAGTTAAATTCTGCTGTGATAAAACGCCATCCTGTTCTAAACCACATCAAGGATTATTTCTGAAACAGTATGGAGCTCAAATGCTTTTTCTCTTGCGGGTTTATCACAAGGTGAGTTCCTTTTTTCATTTCCTGCTTTTTAAAAACACATGTGCTCTACAGTACAGGTTAGCTCTGAGTGTTAGCGAGGCTTGCTAATGTAAATAAAGACGTCCAAAACACGTCAGGCATTGCTTCCGATAGCAACTCTCTGTGGGTCCGCCGCCGATTTGACGTCATATCGGCAGCAAATCTGTATCCGCTCGTTGTAGCCCCGTTTTTAAAGATTTGGGTACGGAGGAAAAGAGAAAGGGTTTTTTTTCCTGACGCTGCGTGAGTTCCCTGACGCACCGAGGACACATATTGATGTATAAAAGACACTGTTATACTTCCAGGTATATTTATCCAATTTCATTAGTTGATTTAATTAAAAGAAAATGTATAATATGAACCAAAATGTAACAAATCTTATCAAATTAAAGTCAGCTAAATGTAGCATAAAATGGAAAACAAACAAGAAATTCTCCACAGATTATTTGTTAAGAACTTTAAAAGGTACATGCAGCAACATGTAACATTTAATCAGGTTAATAAACACAAGGAGGTCAAAGGTAAAAAATGAAATAAAATAAATAATGGTTTCTCTCTGACAGATATATATATACAAGACAACTGAGTCGATGCAACAATATAAAATATACAATTAAAATGTATGCTTTGTGAATATTTTCTTAAAATGCAAATAAAAAATGGAAATACTCAGGTTGAAGTACTCGTCCTAAATGTACTGACCGTTGCTGTGGTGGGGGGCGGCTGGGCGAGTACATCCCAGTTTCGGCTCCTGAAGGCATCATGTTGGGCTGAGGGGCTCCGGGGCCCATGCTGCCTTCAGGGCCCATGCCTGGCTCCTGTCTGCAAACACAACAAACAACACAATTCATTAGAAACGTCTCATCACATTTTATTCAACAAGTACGACGACGACTTCTTACATGTTGAACTCAAATACCTGTACTTTCTACTTCTTACATGTTGAACCCAAATACCTGTACTTTCTACTTCTTACATGTTGAACACAAATACCTGTACTTTCTACTTCTTACATGTTGAACACAAATACCTGTACTTTCTACTTCTTACATTTTCCAAACAGGCTGGTTACTTTAGTTTGAATGTGTGTTTGGTGGCGTGATCATTATTATTTAGAGTCATTAGCCGCTTTCACACCAAGTACTTTGCCGTACTTAGTTCCCAGCACTTAGTTCCCCCATGGAACTCAGAGCCGATCGCGTTCACAACGGAATAAGTCCCTGAGGGAAGATTACGCAAATGAAGCCGCTGACGTCACTTCTTCTTCTTCTTCTGCTGCTTTGGGTTTACTGGCAGGCCGCAAACCACTTCACGGCGTATACTGCCACCCGGAGTCCCTGGAGTTGGGAAGGCTTCAGTAGAAGCTGCTGGGACTCCCAGCAGCTTCTACTGAAGCCTTCCGAGTAAATCGCCAGAGCGCCGACACCTCCTCATCTCCACCCCCCATGTTTTTTTTTGTGTTGCCATAAGTTAGTCTCTCTCCGTTGGTGCGCTGGCTAATGCTAATGCTAAGAATGCTAATGCCAGCAAATAAAATGGCGGCTTTACAACACTTTTCCGAGTTTTACGGGGCGTGGTTTGCAATTCGCCCAGCCAATCAGAAATTGGAACTTTTTTCTCCCCAGGAAAGTACCTTCTCTCTAGCAGGCACTAAAATGGGGGTAAAAGTTCTCATGAACTAAGTTCTCTTTTTGGTGTGAACGCAAAATCCCAGGAACTATCGGAACTAAACGGGAAAAGTACTCCGGTGTGAAAGCGCCTATTGCGTGCCTTTTGATTTGAACACGATCCGTGTATCCATCATTTCCTGGTCTTCTCTAAAGAAGAGGGACCAATGGAAACGTTGTCATGTTGCCGTTGTTCAGCATGGAAACATTCATTAGCTAACAATGACATTATTGTTCTATGAATATAAAGGGAGGTCAGGTACTCTTTAAAGCAGCTGCTAGCTATGGGTACTTTTTACTGAAGTACATTTCAAAGCCTCTTTACTTTGACTTGAGTAAAGAAGTTTAGTCAGTACTTTTTAAACGCGAGTATCTGTACTTCTACTTGAGTACAGGATGTGTGTACTTTTGCCATCTCTGGTTAATAATGCCAATAACTCAGATTATTTACCTTCGGTCATATCCATAAGGGTACTGTTGTCTCTGGCCCATCTGCATGTTCCCCATTGGTCCTGGGGGGCCTCTGTTATACTGCTCTCCCATCCCACTGTTGGGCCCCGGCTGCATGAACTGCTCTCCGGCTGAAAACAAGGGAAACAATCACAGATTATAATAATACCTTTCATTTTGATAGCGCTTTTCCCAGTGCTCAAAGACACTTTACACAAAATCAGAAACAGCAGAAAGAAAACAAAAAACACAAAGAGTAGTCCTAATCCAAGTGCGAGTAAAGTAAGATAAGAAGTACAAATATATCAAAAATATACATGAATGTAAAATGTGTGATTTTCCGGTCGACAGAATTTCATAGTGTTTTATTTGTTCTGCTTTAGGTGTCGCTCACCTTTCCTCATACCACCAAAGGGGTCTTTGTTTGTTTCGTAGGGGCCCATTCGAGCAATCATCTCTGGGCCCGCCATGCCGGGTTGATAGCCCTGTGAATTGGGGGTCAGAGCGTTTCTCCTGGAGAAAGCGGGGTCTCCTCCGTCAGCAAAAGGGTCCTGCAGACTCACACTACTCCTAAAAAGAGAGAGGAGGAATACAGACATGATTTTACTTCTTGTACACAAAAACCACCAGACTAAAAGTAAAGTGCCCCGATAAACATTCAACTGTTTGTCATCTTGCAATCTACTTATTTATATAAATAGTTATGCACCGCAATAAACCGTATTTAGAGATATGAAATACTATGTGGGGAATATTTACTGTGTATATTCTACAGTTCTTTTTAAGAAAAATATACTTTTTATTCCATATAGTGTTTATGTGTTTTATTGCAGTCATTTAAGCCACAAAAACTTAATTTAAAGGTGGAGTAGGTAAGTTTGAGAAACCGGCTCGAGTGCGCTAGAATTTGAAAATACACAACGGGAACAAATCTGCCACTTCCTTACAGAGCCCCTCCTCCAACACACACGAACGCGCACATGACCAATGAGGGCACGAGATAAGTTTGTGCACAGATGGAAGGCTGACAGGCAGGTAGGCCATCCAGTTACTTTAGCCGGCTCAGATGATTGGTCGTGCTTTTTACGGCTTCCACAGATGAAATTTATTTATGGATTTGTCAAAGCACTTCAGATATCCATTGCTATCGGGACGTTAAGAGCATTCCATGGAATATAAAAAAGTGTATCTCGAGCCGGTTTCTCAAACTTACCTACCCCACCTTTAAAGCATTTTTTTTTAACTATTATTGTGGAAATTATTACTACTACAATTACTTTTTTGAATTATTGTATTTATTATAATTATTAGTGTTTTTAATAATTATGTATTTATGATTGCATTTCAAATTTTCTATTTATTTCTATCTAATTTATTTTTTTATATTTTATTTTTTGAAGAGTGCTCTTGTATCCTACGTCTTTTTTTCTACAGTGTATACAAGTATCATAGGCAATATTTATCATATTTCAAATATGCCTCACTTCTTTGTAAAAAACAAAGAATAAATCTGTTTTTCTTTCTCAATTATTACTCAATTTTGTACACGTATTAACACGCCGTTTAGTTGTGTGTGTATTTTAACACCTTTCCACTACACCACTGTTTTCCTGTGTGTTGTATTTTATTATTTCCTGCAGCACGGATCACTTTCATTTCAATCTGATGACTCCTGATATCCCAGAAACACGATATATATTATATATATATTTCTAACATGGTACCTGGCTCCGGGCATTGGAGGCAGCTGGGGGGTGGAGGCGGGGGTGGGGGGCTTCAGGTCTCCCCCCTCTGCCATGGAGCTGCTGGTGGACTGAGGAGTCTGGGGGCCCTGCAGGGATCCAGAGCCAGCTGAGGAACAAGGACACACACTCAGTTAGTGCTTAGGACAGGAAAAAGATGTGTGGGTTTTATTATTTACATTTTATAACACACATAGATCCGAATACACGCATGGATATTAAAAACACCACATTTCTAACAACCAGAAAAAGCGTTATATAGAACATTATTTTTGTAACTTGACAGATATTGCCTGTATACAGGGAAGATAATCAATATAATAAAACATTTTTACTGCATTCTGGATCAATTCAAAAGCACCATTAAGTGTCACATTTGAAAGATCCCACACTAGCAAAGAACACCATGGCAGCCGCCAGACTCCTCACCCACACCAAATCATGGCATCACATCACCCCGGTCCTCAAAGAACTCCACTGGCTTCCCGTTTCTCACCGCATCCACTACAAACTCCTGGTCCTTACTTACAAAGCCCTCCACCATCAAAAAGCATATCTATGTATAAAAAAAATATTCAAACAATTATTTGACTCTGTATTTGGTCCGATCTGGACTTTAATCAGCGGCCCTTCGGTTCCCAAGCCAAGTCTCAACAGACTCAACTACTAAAAAGGACAGAAATCATCTTGGTTTGAGTTATCCTGCAGGATTCAGAGAACATCCTTTAACTCCAGGCATAAAAGGTGAGCGTTGCTGGTGGATTGTGGGTAAACTGAGCCCTGCAGTGGGGCTTTCAGGGAACACACGCTGCTTTCAGCAATCCTAAATCCCATTAAGGTATTTCTGAGCGCAGCACAGAGGAAACACAGGTCGGTGTCAAGCTGACTGGATTTGTTTGTGTGTGTGAAGACAGCAATAGAAAGTGTTGAGTCTTACGGCTCCATCACAGCATGACATAGACACCCCCCCCCCCTTTGAGTAACCAGGAAATAATGATCTAAAACATGACTCTGATGTTATCAAGCTGGTGAAAAGGGTAGAAGGCATTGAAGTCCCTGCATAGCCCCTGTATCAGGAACTATCCAGTCGCCCAGTAAATCCCCAAATTATCAATTTAAAGCATTTTATATTCGTTATGCCATCATAGTAACAACCATAAAAAGTTACATTTAACATTATTTCAGTACAGATTTGCGGGAAAATATTCATAATGATGAAATTTGGATGCAGTTTTTTGAGATATGTTAGGAGACATGAAGTGTACCATCTAAAGATCCGACCAGAGTTTCCGTTAGCTTTGACCGGTAAAAATATGCTGAAGACCGGCAAATCTAAATCTCTCGGGTCAAAAATACTTTCCCCTTAGCGCAATACCGCATCAGTTGCGCCACTTATGTGACAGACAAGAAGAGTCAATTCTAAAGTCTAACACGTAATGTGGAGAAAGAGATGTCCTGGATGGGTTGATTGTGCGTTGATCTGTTGGTAATGCCTCGGGGTTCCGGTGGGCATGTAAACAAATGCATAATGCTGCGCTATACTTTGCGGCCTCACCCGGTTGCATAGCGACGCTTATTGTTTAGGTGTCTTTTAATAAGCAGGTAGTCATATCATTAGCTAGAACTAGCTGGATCTGATCGATATGGACATAAACGCAAGTAAAGTCTAATCTGACGAGAGAGAGAGATCAGCCGGTGAGCGAAACACACACTTCAGGTTAGAATATCACACGGAGCTATTTTAATCACCTCTCAAACTACCGTAACTAGTTATAGATATGTTTAGTTTTACTGTCGGGGCACTCTGGATCCGCGAGCTGCATGATACTGACGGGCTGTCAGGAGAGGGAGAGAGCTCCGTTTATTATTCCTGTGTTATTGTAAATTACTGAACGCTTTTGAATAATGTAGTTAATCTACTATAATTAGTTTGTTTAATATCGAATCATAGCAATTAGTTTTAAAGCTCAATAAATAACAAAGAAGACCTTTGACCGGCACTTTTTTCATTTTGTCCGGAAGATTGAAACTTTAACGGCAACGGAAACTCTGGATCCTACAATACCTTACAACATGTAATCTTTATACTAAGTATTGCTTAAAGTTAGGGTTTAAATATGTCAACTTAAACGCATAAAACGAACGCAGTTAATCTAGAAACCTTAACGCGTGGCACAACAAAAAAAAATCATTGTCAGACTTCATGCCAATAATTAAGAAATCACGTCATAATAAAGTAAAAAACTTTATTCAAAGAAACAGTATTCCTTCACTACAACACCACACCTGTATTTGATTCATTTCCCTACAAAAAAAACAAGTAGATACTAGTATTTAAAACTTGTGATGAATCAAAACAAGTTAAAAAAAGACGGCTGCCTGACCTGTATAGACAGCCAGTGTGTGTGTGTGTTATTGTTGGTGTGTGTGTGTGTGTGTGTGTGTGACATCTCATACTTTACACTATCACTATTAACACGCCAGTCGGATGACTCACAGGTTCCCATTCATTAAACAGCCACACACACAGGCAAAGCGGGGTCAGTTGAAAGTCACATTTAACACACACACACACACACACACACACACACACACACACACACACACACACACAACACACACACACACACACACACACACACACACACCAACAACACACACACACACACACACACACACACCACACACACACACACACACACACACACACACACACACACACACACACACACACACACACACACACACACACACACACACACACAACACACAACACACACACACACAACACACACACGACCAACACACACACACACACACACACACACCACAGCCACACACACACAACACCACCACACACACACACACATACACCACACACACACACACACCACACATCACCACCCAACACACACATCCACACACATCACAGCACACAACACACATACACACACACACACACACACACACACATCACACACCCAGTTTCAGTTGCAGGTTCACAATGTATTCCATTTCTCACATCACTGTCTCCTCTCTTACACACAGACACATTACTCCAACTCCCTCCTCCCTCTGGGCAGGGATTTCCCTCCACTAAAGATGAAGGGGGAAGGGGAGGAGGAGGGGGATGTCGTAAGGATGGAAACAAAACGAGTAGTCACACACAGAGAGAGAGAGAGAGAGAGAGAGAGAGAGAGAGAGAGATAGAGAGAGAGAGAGAGAGAGAGAGAGAGAGAGAGAGAGAGAGATAGAGAGAGAGAGACTTTTACACACTCATTCAACCCCATTCATCATTTCTGGCTCAGCACTAATCTCCAGGGAGCTCTGTAGCCCTGGGCCGGGGGGGGGGGGGGCATCACTATCGCCAAATCACCTCCTCCTCCCACCCTTCCTCCCCCCCTTCCTCATTTCTAACTGCAGGGCTGATGCCAGCTGACGGGGTCCCTGATGTCTCCTGTATCGTTTCCCCAACGCTGACTCAGGGTCTGACAGCAGCACATGGTCTCTGCTGGCAGCTAAAAAATCGAGTCCCTCCAAAACAAACAGCTTCCAGGCGTCACACCCCCCCCCCCCCCCCTTTAACCTCTGACTGACTGCCAGTTCACACACACTGACTTTTAGTATCCGACATTCATTGGAAGATTTGGCATGATGCAAGAAACACTGATGATAGGAGATTAAAGACGACACACTCTGCTCATGTTCAGGTGTATATCAGTATTTAGTGTCTCTACTTTAAAGAGTCCTCTCCTGCTGATGTTCAGGTGTATATCAGTATGTAGTAACTCTACTTTAAAGAGTCCTCTCCTGCTGATGTTCAGGTATATATCAGTATGTAGTGTCTCTACTTTAAAGAGTCCTCTCCTGCTGATGTTCAGGTGTATATCAGTATGTAGTCTCTACTTTAAAGAGTCCTCTCCTGCTGATGTTCAGGTGTATATCAGTATGTAGTGTCTCTACTTTAAAGAGTCCTCTCCTGCTGATGTTCAGGTGTATATCAGTATGTAGTGTCTCTACTTTAAAGAGTCCTCTCCTGCTGATGTTCAGGTGTATATCAGTATGTAGTGTCTCTACTTTAAAGAGTCCTCTCCTGCTGATGTTCAGGTGTATATCAGTATGTATTGTCTCTACTTTAAAGAGTCCTCTCCTGCTGATGAAAAAAACATGACTTATAGTGAAAACCAGCCTTGAATGATGGGATAGTAGACTAAAAGCTTTAGGAATCCAAACTATAACATATAATAAGAACCCTGTATCAAGATTGATGCAAAACAAGTGACATTTTACCTTTTTAGAGAGGTTTAGCACAAAAAAAAACTTCTGGGGTCATTTGGGTGGATTTGCCATTTCTCTGGAACCCATTGGTCGATTTTGATGATTGACATCTCTTTTGAACCGTTAGAGCCAATAGAATCGAAGGGAAAGTTCCACATACACGTTACCATTGAGAAGTGAAAGCTATGCGCAGGCAGTCGAAAGCTATCTTACGCTCTGAAAACTGAAAGCTAGGTTTATTGCTGATGGATTATCAGAAATCATTTCAAAGTGACGGACACATTGGATTAACCTATGGATTAACCTTCAGCAGCGTTTTTATCGTTTTAATGCCATTGCACACGACTTTTGATCAGAACAACAGCAAAAGGTAAGACATATTTCCTCCGTAATGCTACGTGTTAAGTCTGGTTTTGTTTCCCATGTCGCGTTATGATGATGTGCACTAACCTCCAGGGAGCTCTGTAGCCCTGGGCCGGGGGGGGGGGGGGCATCACTATCGCAAAATCACCTCCTCCTCCCCCCCTTCCTCCCCCCCTTCCTCATTTCTAACTGCAGGGCTGATGCCAGCTGACGGGGTCCCTGATGTCTCCTGTATCGTTTCCCCAACGCTGACTCAGGGTCTGACAGCAGCACATGGTCTCTGCTGGCAGCTAAAAAATCGAGTCCCTCCAAAACAAACAGCTTCCAGGCGTCACACCCCCCCCCCCCCCTTTAACCTCTGACTGACTGCCAGTTCACACACACTGACTTTTAGTATCCGACATTCATTGAAAGATTTGGCATGATGCAGGAAACACTGATGATAGGAGATTAAAGACGACACACTCTGCTCATGTTCAGGTGTATATCAGTATTTAGTGTCTCTACTTTAAAGAGTCCTCTCCTGCTGATGTTCAGGTGTATATCAGTGTTTAGTGTCTCTACTTTAAAGAGTCCCCTCCTGCTGATGTTCAGGTGTATATCAGTATGTAGTGTCTCTACTTTAAAGAGTCCTCTCCTGCTGATGTTCAGGTGTATATCAGTATGTAGTGTCTCTACTTTAAAGAGTCCTCTCCTGCTGATGTTCAGGTGTATATCAGTATGTAGTGTCTCTACTTTAAAGAGTCCTCTCCTGCTGATGTTCAGGTGTATATCAGTATGTAGTGTCTCTACTTTAAAGAGTCCTCTCCTGCTGATGTTCAGGTGTATATCAGTATGTAGTGTCTCTACTTTAAAGAGTCCTCTCCTGCTGATGTTCAGGTGTATATCAGTATGTAGTGTCTCTACTTTAAAGAGTCCTCTCCTGCTGATGTTCAGGTGTATATCAGTATGTAGTGTCTACTTTAAAGAGTCCTCTCCTGCTGATGTTCAGGTGTATATCAGTATGTAGTGTCTCTACTTTAAAGAGTCCTCTCCTGCTGATGTTCAGGTGTATATCAGTATGTAGTGTCTACTTTAAAGAGTCCTATCCTGCTGATGTTCAGGTGTATATCAGTATTTAGTGTCTCTACTTTAAAGAGTCCTCTCCTGCTGATGTTCAGGTGTATATCAGTATGTAGTGTCTCTACTTTAAAGAGTCCTCTCCAGCTGATGTTCAGGTGTATATCAGTATGTAGTGTCTCTACTTTAAAGAGTCTTCTCCTGCTGATGTTCAGGTGTATATCAGTATGTAGTGTCTCTACTTTAAAGAGTCCTCTCCTGCTGATGTTCAGGTGTATATCAGTATTTAGTGTCTCTACTTTAAAGAGTCCTCTCCTGCTGATGTTCAGGTGTATATCAGTATGTAGTGTCTCTACTTTAAAGAGTCCTCTCCAGCTGATGTTCAGGTGTATATCAGTATGTAGTGTCTCTACTTTAAAGAGTCCTCTCCTGCTGATGTTCAGGTGTATATCAGTATGTAGTGTCTACTTTAAAGAGTCCTCTCCTGCTGATGTTCAGGTGTATATCAGAATGTAGTGTCTCTACTTTAAAGAGTCCTCTCCTGCTGATGTTCAGGTGTATATCAGTATGTAGTGTCTCTACTTTAAAGAGTGCTCTCCTGCTGATGTTCAGGTGTATATCAGTATGTAGTGTCTCTACTTTAAAGAGTCCTCTCCTGCTGATGTTCAGGTGTATATCAGTATGTAGTGTCTCTACTTTAAAGAGTTCTCTCCTGCTGATGTTCAGGTGTATATCAGTATGTAGTGTCTCTACTTTAAAGAGTCCTCTCCTGCTGATGTTCAGGTGTATATCAGTATGTAGTGTCTCTACTTTAAAGAGTCCTCTCCTGCTGATGTTCAGGTGTATATCAGAATGTAGTGTCTCTACTTTAAAGAGTCCTCTCCTGCAGATGTTCAGGTGTATATCAGTATGTAGTGTCTCTACTTTAAAGAGTCCTCTCCTGCTGATGTTCAGGTGTATATCAGAATGTAGTGTCTCTACTTTAAAGAGTCCTCTCCTGCAGATGTTCAGGTGTATATCAGTATGTAGTAACTCTACTTTAAAGAGTCCTCTCCTGCTGATGTTCAGGTGTATATCAGTATTTAGTGTCTCTACTTTAAAGAGTCCTCTCCTGCTGATGTTCAGGTGTATATCAGTATGTAGTGTCTCTACTTTAAAGAGTCCTCTCCTGCTGATGTTCAGGTGTATATCAGTATGTAGTGTCTCTACTTTAAAGAGTCCTCTCCTGCTGATGTTCAGGTGTATATCAGAATGTAGTGTCTCTACTTTAAAGAGTCCTCTCCTGCTGATGTTCAGGTGTATATCAGTATGTAGTATCTCTACTTTAAAGAGTCCTCTCCTGCAGATGTTCAGGTGTATATCAGTATGTAGTAACTCTACTTTAAAGAGTCCTCTCCTGCTGATGTTCAGGTGTATATCAGTATGTAGTGTCTCTACTTTAAAGAGTCCTCTCCTGCTGATGTTCAGGTGTATATCAGTATGTAGTAACTCTACTTTAAAGAGTCCTCTCCTGCAGATGTTCAGGTGTATATCAGTATGTAGTAACTCTACTTTAAAGAGTCCTCTCCTGCTGATGTTCAGGTGTATATCAGTATGTAGTGTCTCTACTTTAAAGAGTCCTCTCCTGCTGATGTTCAGGTGTATATCAGTATGTAGTAACTCTACTTTAAAGAGTCCTCTCCTGCTGATGTTCAGGTGTATATCAGTATGTAGTGTCTCTACTTCATGTCTCCATGCTTTAATGTTCAAAAAGCTCTTTATTTTCTCATACTGTCTGTGCTGCAGCACCTCTTTTCACCCTCTGTCTGAAACCAGAGCCCAGTCTGCTCTGATTGGTTAGTTGGCCGGCTCTGTTGTGATTGGTCAACCGCTTAGAGATGTCCCGCCCCTTAGTCTATCACATACAATGCGTTTTGAAAAGAAATTAAAAAATTTAAAAAGCATGAGTGTTATATAGTGATGTCACTTTGACCCTGAATAAAAAAAAAAAATTAATTAAAGTGATGTTTATATGTGCCGATTATCCCGCTGAAGGAAACATGTAAGTATCATAAACGTTTGTTTACCAAGAACCGTATTTATAATTTCCGGTTCATCCTACAAAAACCTTACTGCCCCACTGAACTGCAGTGTGATTCATCTCTAATCTCACATTGAGAAACACTTGCTAATCTGGAGCCCATTCATTGATACATTTAATTCATAATCCTCATTCCCATATCAGACACCGCCCCTTTCAACCCCTTTAACCTGTTCAGCCCTGAGCCTGTTTTTCAGGCCTCAGGCTCGAAAAGGACATGCCCAGAACTAATGACTATAACTTCACTTCTAAAAGGGGAAAATTAATAATCTTTTTTCTCAAAGCAATGATAAACCTGTGAGTTGGATGTAGAGAAGTCAGAATCAATATAGATATTTTTATTTTAAAAGTAAATTCAGATTGAACATAGTGAATAAATGATAGTGTCCGTCCAAAAAAAAACATGACTTATCGTGAAAACCACCCTTGAATGATGGGATCGTAGACTAAAAGCTTTAGGAATCCAAACTATAACATATAATAAGAACCCTGTATCAAGATTGATGCAAAACAAGTGACATTTTACCTTTTTAGAGAGGTTTAGCAAAAAAAAACACTTCTGGGGTCATTTGGGTGGATTTGCCATTTCTCTGGAACCCATTGGTCGATTTTGATGATTGACATCTCTTTTGAACCGTTAGAGCCAATAGAATCGAAGGGAAAGTTCCACATACGTTACCATTGAGAAGTGAAAGCTATGCGCAGGCAGTCGAAAGCTATCTTACGCTCTGAAAACTGAAAGCTAGGTTTATTGCTGATGGATTATCAGAAATCATTTCAAAGTGACAGACACATTGGATTAACCTATGGATTAACCTTCAGCAGCGTTTTTATCATTTTAATGCCATTGCACACGACTTTTGATCAGAACAACAGCAAAAGGTAAGACATATTGCCGTTTTTCCTCCGTAATGCTACGTGTTAAGTCTGGTTTTGTTTCCCATGTCGCGTTATGATGATGTGCTATATGTGACATGTATGTAGTAACGTGTGTTTGCATGTTATTGTTCTCTCTTATCCGTTCGCCTTTATCTACTTGTCTTTCATCGTTTCTTTATAACTGTTGATGTGTTGGTGTCTATCACCATCTGGCCGGGTACAACAGCTGGAAATTAGCAATGTTGGCTAAAGCAAATTTTACTGTTTTTTGTGACCGTTGATCAATGGGGACTCTCCGTGACACTATAAACAAATAAACGAAACACTTGCTAGTGCTTCTGAATTTGGGGAATTCTCACCTGGGCTGGGGGGCTGGGCCTTGGGCGGGTTCTTTTTGGAGTCGGTGTTGAAAAAGTCCGCTGGCGGGTCTTCGCCGCGCTCGATCTTGCACTCGAAGGCGTACAAACACTGGATGTACTGTTTCTTTAGCGAGCTGGCAGCGCTGCTCGATGTTCCCACGTTCAGGTTGGTAGACAGCTCTCTCCACTTCTTGTTCTTGTTCACCTGGTGGGCGAGAGACAAGAGAGGAAGACTTGAGGAATTATTGTCTGTTATTAAAACACTGATATTCTGTTCAGAATGAACTGCTGTGCAATAACAGTGGGATATATACTTTTTTTAATTCATTTGTTGTGTTATTACTGGCTGCTACTTTAATATATTCACTTACTCTTATGGTGCTAGTTCTTGTTTTTATTAATCTACTGTTTTAAATTGGTTTGTCCATGCATGTAATTCGCTCAAAATAAAAGCGAATTAAGTATATGTAGGTATAAGTAGAACAAAACAAAGAAAACAAGCCTACTATAAATCTGAAATTAAATTAAAGAAAAAAATTACAAAAGTAAATAATACAAATATATAAAATATATATGAGAAAAACAAAGTATTTATATATATATATATACACAGCAAATACACAAGACATATATTTTGTTGATGATCGCTTGCCTCTTATCTAATTATGTTAGTCTACTTGTTCCATTTCTCCTTTATCTCCTGTAGATTTCCCCGTTGTTGGACGAATTAAAGTTTTCCTTCTTCTGATTAAAGTACCTGTGTGAGGCCTCCGATCTCTTTGACGGACACGTAGAGTCTGAAGAGGTCCAGAGGTTTGCGTCCCACAGCAGGAAGGTTGTTCATTCCCATCGCCTTTTCCTCCGCGAAAGCCAGAAATCGATCGACCCACATCTTCCGCTCCGGCTCCGGGCCGAGCTCATACAGGCGGGTGATCTTTTCGTTAGTGAGGGTGGAAGAGCTCGACTTCTGCAAGGGCGAAAGAAGGGAAGAAATCGTGAGGAAAAGCTTCTATATAGGGATGCTCCGATCGCCAATTTTGGGGCCGATCGCCGGAATCAGTATCGGCCGATACCGATCGCCGATCCGATGGAGTGGGCGGGGCCTATGCAGATCTTCCATTTAAAGTGATGTTTAAAACTCAGTTAATGGGGCTCATTCACTGGCGCTTCCACAAACAACAACCAACATAAGTATTACATTCAAATGAAGTACATTACTCTGTCCCTCCCCCTCTCTGTCTCACTCTCTCCCCCGGTCTCACTCTCTCTCCCTCCCTCTCCTGACAGCCCGTCAGTATCTCATGCAGCTCACTGATAGAGTAATGAGTGACCCGACAGTGAAGAATAAATATATTTATGACTATTTTAGCTTGTTCCAGATAGGTAGAGCCCGACATGTCGTTTTATGTCGTTGCTGTGGACCTTCTTAATATCTTGGAAAATGCCGTTTAATACTTTTTAATAGCCTTAATTTTCGCTAAATTGATTTATCAACTTTTAATACTTTTTAAGACCCCGCGGACACCCTGAATACAAGTAAATTAATAAAAAATCCTCAACCAAAAAAAATGTAATACAAAAAATACAAAACAGCAAAAGGTTTCCATATTTGACAGCTTTTATCTAAATGATTATCAGCAATTATCCAAATAATTGCTGATAATTACTTAACAGAATTGTTTGACTAAGATAATTTCATTCTACCTTTTTTGTTGTTGGTGTTGTTGTTGTTGTTGTTGTTGTTGTTGTTGTTTCTGGCTTGGGAGTCCCCTCCACTTTGTTGTTGATCTTCTGAGCAGGGTTCATTTTCTCCATGGCAAACTCCGTACTGGGAGGCATTCCTGGATGAAAAAAACAACATTTGACCAATCTTTCCCAGCCTTCTAACCACATAGAGTGGTGCAGGAATGAGTCCTCAAACCTGGAAATGAGTTAGCATTAACACAAGCTGAAGAGATGTTTGTTTTACGACCTAAAATACATCAGTAAATACTCCACAAGTGAATTCAAAAAGGGCAGTTGCTAACAAGTGTCTAAATGAAATGACTAAAAGTCATCACGCCCAACATTAGCCTCCTTTAGCTTAGCGGTGGTGACGTGAAGTCATGTGACCGTGCTGTAGTTCCTTTATAGCCCAACATTAGCCACCTTTAGCTTAGCAGTGGTGAAGTGAAGTCATGTGACCGTGCTGTAGTTCCTTTATAGCCCAACATTAGCCTCCTTTAGCTTAGCGGTGGTGACGTGAAGTCGTGTGACCTTGCTGTAGCTCCTTTATAGCCCAACATTAGCCACCTTTAGCTTAGCGGTGGTGACGTGAAGTCATGTGACCGTGCTGTAGTTCCTTTATAGCCCAACATTAGCCACCTTTAGCTTAGCGGTGGTGACGTGAAGTCATGTGACCGTGCTGTAGTTCCTTTATAGCCCAACATTAGCCGCCTTTAGCTTAGCGGTGGTGACGCGAAGTCATGTGACCGTGCTGTAGTTCCTTTATAGCCCAACATTAGCCGCCTTTAGCTTAGCGGTGGTGACGTGAAGTCATGTGACCGTGCTGTAGTTCCTTTATAGCCCAACATTAGCCTCCTTTAGCTTAGCGGTGGTGACGTGAAGTCATGTGACCGTGCTGTAGTTCCTTTATAGCCCAACATTAGGTTTTTACTTAAAAAATCCTAAAGTGGTGTTAATATGTGGAGATTATCCTGCTTAACAAAACGTGTAAGTATCATAAATGTGTGTTTGCCAAAGATCGCATTTTCTGAAATAATCCAAAATCCAGTGGGAAACTCCCATTGGCTGTTTGTCGAGGGAACCAATGAGATGCTACCTTCAGGGTCGGCTGCACTACTCTACATTTTAACATTCTTTCAGTGTTTTTACTCACCAGGACTGTTGTTGGGTATGTTTGTTCCCATTGGATACGGCCCTGGCCCTGGCCCTGGCCCTCCCTGGTTCATCATCCCATGCATGCTGTTCATACCCGGCCCGTACGGAGATCCTGTTCCCATCATGCCTTGGGACATGTTAGGATATCCAGGTGGCCTGCAGAAGAGAAAGCTTGCTTAGAAACTCAGAAACAGAGGTGGAATTTTTCTGGTATCAGTACTTTACTCCACTACTTATTTTTCTGACGACTTTTTACTTTGACTTCTTAAATTTTTAACACAAATACCTGAACTTTCTACTTCTTACACTTCGAACACAAATACCTGTACTTTCTACTTCTTACATGTTGAACTCAAATACCTGTACTTTCTACTTCTTACATGTTGAACACAAATATTACATTACATTACATTGCATTTAGCTGACGCTTTTGTCCAAAGCGACTTACAATAAGTACATTCGACCAGGAAGACACAACCTTGAAGAAAACAGAATCATATAAGTATATCAGGTTTCATAGAGCCAAACATTTCAAGTGCTACTCAACTGGCTTTAGGTAATCCAGTCCTTTATTGGTATAAAAGTGCTTCGTTAATCGTTCTAACGCTCGAAGTGGAGTCGAAAGAGATGAGTTTTCAGTTTGCGCCGGAAGATGTGCAAGCTATCTGCCGTCCTGATGTCAATGGGGAGCTCATTCCACCATCTTGGAGCCAGGATAGCAAACCCACGTGTTTTCGCCGATGGGAACTTGGGTCCCCCTCGCAGCGAGGGCGCAACGAGTCGTTTGGCTGATGCAGAGCGTAGTGCACGCGCTGGGGTGTACGGTTTAACCATGTCCTGGATGTAGGAAGGGCCAGATCCATTCGCAGCACGGTAAGCAAGTACCAGTGTCTTGAAGTGGATTCTAGCAGTTACCGGAAGCCAGTGAAGGGAGCGGAGGAGCGGAGTGGTGTGGGAGAATTTAGGAAGGTTGAAGACCAGACGAGCCGCTGCATTCTGGATGAGCTGCAGAGGTCAAATACCTGTACTTTCTACTTCTTACATGTTGAACACTAATACCTGTACTTTCTACTTCTTACATGTTGAACTCAAATACCTGTACTTTCTACTTCTTACATGTTGAACCCAAATACCTGTACTTTCTACTTCTTACATGTTGAACTCAAATACCTGTACTTTCTACTTCTTACATGTTGAACACAAATACCTGTACTTTCTACTTCTCACATGTTGAACCCAAATACCTGTACTTTCTACTTCTTACATGTTGAACACAAATACCTGTACTTTCTACTTCTTACATGTTGAACACTAATACCTGTACTTTCTACTTCTTACATGTTGAACTCAAATACCTGTACTTTCTACTTCTTACATGTTGAACTCAAATACCTGTACTTTCTACTTCTTACATGTTGAACTCAAATACCTGTACTTTCTACTTCTTACATGTTGAACTCAAATACCTGTACTTTCTACTTCTTACATGTTGAACACAAATACCTGTACTTTCTACTTCTTACATGTTGAACCCAAATACCTGTACTTTCTACTTCTTACATGTTGAATACAAATACCTGTACTTTCTACTTCTTACATGTTGAACTCAAATACCTGTACTTTCTACTTCTTACATGTTGAACACAAATACCTGTACTTTCTACTTCTTACATGTTGAACTCAAATACCTGTACTTTCTACTTCTTACATGTTGAACTCTAATACCTGTACTTTCTACTTCTTACATGTTGAACTCAAATACCTGTACTTTCTACTTCTTACATGTTGAACCCAAATACCTGTACTTTCTACTTCTTACATGTTGAACTCAAATACCTGTACTTTCTACTTCTTACATGTTGAACTCAAATACCTGTACTTTCTACTTCTTCCATGTTGAACTCAAATACCTGTACTTTCTACTTCTTACATGTTGAACTCAAATACCTGTACTTTCTACTTCTTACATGTTGAACTCAAATACCTGTACTTTCTACTTCTTACATGTTGAACACTAATACCTGTACTTTCTACTTCTTACATGTTGAACTCAAATACCTGTACTTTCTACTTCTTACATGTTGAACTCAAATACCTGTACTTTCTACTTCTTACATGTTGAACTCAAATACCTGTACTTTCTACTTCTTACATGTTGAACTCAAATACCTGTACTTTCTACTTCTTACATGTTGAACACAAATACCTGTACTTTCTACTTCTTACATGTTGAACCCAAATACCTGTACTTTCTACTTCTTACATGTTGAATACAAATACCTGTACTTTCTACTTCTTACATGTTGAACTCAAATACCTGTACTTTCTACTTCTTACATGTTGAACACAAATACCTGTACTTTCTACTTCTTACATGTTGAACTCAAATACCTGTACTTTCTACTTCTTACATGTTGAACTCTAATACCTGTACTTTCTACTTCTTACATGTTGAACTCAAATACCTGTACTTTCTACTTCTTACATGTTGAACCCAAATACCTGTACTTTCTACTTCTTACATGTTGAACTCAAATACCTGTACTTTCTACTTCTTACATGTTGAACTCAAATACCTGTACTTTCTACTTCTTCCATGTTGAACTCAAATACCTGTACTTTCTACTTCTTACATGTTGAACTCAAATACCTGTACTTTCTACTTCTTACATGTTGAACTCAAATACCTGTACTTTCTACTTCTTACATGTTGAACTCAAATACCTGTACTTTCTACTTCTTACATGTAGAACTCAAATACCTGTACTTTCTACTTCTTACATGTTGAACTCAAATACCTGTACTTTCTACTTCTTACATGTTGAACTCAAATACTTGTACTTTCTACTTCTTACATGTTGAACTCAAATACCTGTACTTTCTACTTCTCACATGTTGAACTCAAATACTTGTACTTTCTACTTCTCTCATTTTCCAAACAGCTGGTTCCTTTAGTCTGAATGTGTGTTTGGTGCGTGATCATTATTCTTTAGAGTCGTTGCGTGCCTATTGATTTGAACACGATCCGTGTATCCATCATTTCCTGGTCTTCTCTAAAGAAGAGGGACCAATGGAAACGTTGTCATGTTGCCGTTGTTCAGCATTAGGGGTGCAACAACTAATCGACTTAATCGATTACCAAATTAGTTGCCAACTAATTCAGTCGTCGATTCGTTGGTGACGTCATCACGTGCGTTTTACGCGCCGTTAAGCTCCAACGTTATTGGTACTGGAGACATTTAAAAAATATATGTCATGTATTATTGATACAAAAACATTATATCGCAGTCTTAGTGTCGCCAGCTCGTTTATAATATGTAAAAAGACAAACAAATGCGTCTATGATGTATTTTCGATCAGACGAGATCTCTCTCCCCCGTCTGTGTGGGAGGGGGCGGGGCAGTTCACACACACGCGGCTGCTACATGCAGCAACACACTGCGGAGGAGATGGCAGAGAGAACGCGCTCCGAGGTGGTTAAACTTTACCCGTCTCGATGCTCGTTGCCTAAAGTGCAATAAGAGTTTAGCATGTAAGGGCGGTAACACGAGCAATGTGTCTAAACATTTATCAAAAGTGCTCCACATCCAGACGGAGAAATGCACCGGGTTCGACTGTCTTTCTAGCAGCTCTGTAGCCCCGTCCACGAGTAACGTTTCCACGTCAGGTGTTCTGTATGCTAGCAGCAACACACGGAGTTAACTACATGATACAAACATGGGTTAATGATTAGAGGAAACTGAGTTATTTATTTGTTAAAGTTTCAGCTATTCTGTTCACAGTTCTGTCATCACATTATTTATTATTTGCTAAAACACTTGTTTCTTTTGATGTGAAATATTATTTATTTAATTTAAATAAAAAGCAATGTTCATTTTGTTCACAATTTGTTTAGTTAATTTAATAATATGTATTTTTGAATCAAGTATTCATCTTTATTGTCTTGTTAGTTTCCACATGCCTAAAACAACCTCAAGCTACATCTAAAAGTTGATGGCTAAATAAGAGCGTTTGAGAAATTGTGCAAGGCATACAGTAATAGTCCGAATAGTCGATTAATCGTTTCATTCATCGATAGATTAATCGATTATCAAATTAGTCGTTTGTTGCAGCCCTATTCAGCATGGAAACATTCATTAGCTAACAATGACATTATTGTTCTATTAATATAAAGGGAGGTCAGGTACTCTTTAAAGCAGCTGCTAGTTATGGGTACTTTTTACTGAAGTACATTTCAAAGCCTCTTTACTTTGACTTGAGTAAAGAAGTTTAGTCAGTACTTCTACTTTCACCAGAGTACTTTTAAACACGAGTATCTGTACTTCTACTTGAGTAAAGGTTGTGTGTACTTCTGCCATCTCGGCTCAGAAATAAAAAGGCGTTTTCTGGATACATTTTCCTCATTTTCAGCTTTCTAGGTTTAGCTCTTTTCTTCAGGAACCATCAATTCACGTCATATGACTCGAGCATTTGCCAAACCCACGAGTGTTTCTCTCTGTAGGCTGCGCTGGCATCCTCGCAGGGGAAATATGTGATTCACTCATCTCAAAAACCATCTCCTGCTTTCACACTCTCTCCACTTTTCCATTTTCTCTCACAGATAAGTGTTTGGTCTACTGCCATCCAGTCTGCGGCAACTCGAACACACAGCGGACCGGCTTGCACGTGGGAAGAAGCTAACATTTTGTATGGTAACACACAAAAACCTGCATATTCAACCAAGGAAACACACACACACACACAGCTAAAAGATGGGGCTGCAGACTCTCAATGCAAAGTGTCATACTGACCCTCAAATGCTTCACAACGTCTCACTGAGAGAGTAAAGCTACGTCAGCAATTATATGTTTATGCATGGCGTCCAGAGACTTTTCAAAAAGTATCTAATCAAATAAGCACTAGGAAAAGCGCTATAAAAAATGTATAATTATTATTAATCACCTGTTGTGTATGGAGTTTGTTGGTCCGTGGTGCATCGAGGGTCCTCCGTCCTTCCTGTTCATGCCTGGAGGCGGACACATCCCAGACGCCACCTGAGGAGGCATGCCGGCCATGTTTGCTGCCATCCCGGGGCCAAAAGGCCGGGGACCCATCTGTCCGAGGCCTAATCTACCGGGTGGGATGCCTCCGTACGGGACCCCCCCACCCTGACCAGGCATGGGGTTCATGGAGCCGCTCAAAATTCTATCAGGCCCCGGACCTGTGGGGTAGTTAGCGTTGGGCATGCCTGTGTATCCGGGCTGCCGGGGGTAACCTGGAGAGTTACAGAGACACAGAAATAAGGTAAGATAAAATAAGATTGAACTTTATTTATCCCCGTGGGGAAATGCAGGCGTTTATAGCAGCGGGTTAAAATATTCCAACGTGCTTGCTAGCGCTACCTATGAAAGTCGTTTTTCGAAAAAATGTACAAAGTCGCATCGTAACTCCGAATGACCTGAAATGTTGCACACTTATCCGTCTCCACCTGCTCTACAAATAATCCTCTTGGACCCCTAAGCTCCGCCTACTTTTATTACTTCACACAGGGTAAAAATTAAATAGAATAATACAGCAAGTGATAAAGTAACTATTAAAACAAGATATCACCACACACACCTGTTTTATTTTATTATTAGTATGTATTTATCTTATGTCTATTTCATTATTATTATTATTGATTTTTTTGTATGTAGATACAGCTAAATGAAAATGGAAAAACTGTTGATCAAAACGTGAACATGTATGTATAATGAAACTGAATCTGAAATAAAAACAAAGACAAAAAAAACCAAGATATCACAGTAAAAACATGTTAAATATATTTACATCCAACCCAGTCTCACGGCATTTCGTGTTATAGTCACGAAATTAATTTAATCTATTGATTCGTGTTCACCAACACGATTTTCGCATTTTTTTCGTGTCACACAGAACGATTTTAAAAGCAATGTATTTGTATTGGTAGTGTGTTTCGTGCCTGCACCACGTCTTTTTGTCCGGTCGGGTCTTGGAAGACCGGAAGCTGTGTGGTTCATAAAAATATTTTCTTACTCAATATCTTACCCTAAGCCTATCCCTTTTATTTTAAATTGTACAATGTCTGAATTTGTTTGCCGTCCGCGAGGAAAATAAATGGCTCAGAGCCTCAGAATACTGACATCTGTCTTTCTTTAAAAAAATAAAAATCCTTCTAATGTGTTATTATTTGGTGCAGGCACGAAACACGCTACCAATAGAAATACATTGCTTCTAAAATCGTTCTGTGTCAGAATACTGAAATCTGTATTTTTTTTTAATCTGTTTTTCCTTCTAATTTGTTATTATTTACATTGCTTTTAAAATCGTTCTGTGTGACACGAAAAAACTTTTTTCGCCAAATCGTCTTGTTGGTGAACACGATTAATTTCATGACTATAACACGAAATGCCGTGAGACTGTGTTGTTACATCAGAGTGAAGGTTAAAGTCTTGTATAACAGTGCAGGTGTTATGTTTGAACAGTCCTGGTTATGCAGATTTAGCCAAAAAGATTCATCAGATAGGTTTCCATTTCCTCCGGTCTATAAAGTCTTCTGCTTCCCTGATGAGCTGCAGACGTCCTGATCTAAAATGTTCCTCTGCAGCCTGATGGATCACAACTTCTTCAAAAGCACAGAAACCATCTGAGACTTCAAAGTGCAGCGTGTGTGATTTCATAAATACATGAAGTGAGAGGGAACTTCAAAGCCTTTTTTTTAAAAATATATAAATCTGGGCCATCTATGAAAGTGGGATGATAGAGCGACAACTCATTCATAATATTTTTTTACGAGTTGCCAAGCAACACATTGCATTTCCTGCGAACACCGTCACTTTGCCATTTAAATAATTGAAGCAATATGAAGGGAAGATATGAAGCTGCAGCTTTAGGAAATATCAGATTTGCAACTCAATAAAGTAGTATGGTATAATTATTGCAATATTTGTTATCAATGTGCCATAGGCTCATCTCCCTTTGCCCTTATAATATATATATATATATATATATATATATATATATATATATAAATATATATTGAAGATCACAGGACCCGTTCACAATATTCTTTACGAGCTGCAGAGAGAACGCATGCATTTAAAACACTTTTGCAATAGCAGTAACTTATTATATATTTGCAGTTTTAATAAATAAAGTATTGAAATCATTTGATTCAATGTTCCGCATGCTCATTTCCTTTTGCAGTGGCTTATTTATCGAAGTATACAGTGATGACTGCAGGACGACAACTTCATCATATTTACGATTTTACGAAAGCGACTGTATAATTGACTCTCGCTCCGCGGTCTCACACAACGAGCAGTAGAAGTAGGGAGGAAGAAGAGAGGAAGAAGGGAAGAAGTAGGGAAGAAGGACGGAGGAAGTAGGGAAGAAGGACGGAGGAAGTAGGGAAGAAGTAGGGAGGAAGGACGGAGGAAGTAGGGAGGGAGGACGGAGGAAGTAGGGAAGAAGTAGGAAGGAAGTAAGGAAGAAGTAGGGAGGAAGTAAGGAGGAAGTAGGGAGGAAGGACGGAGGTAGTAGGGAAAGAAGTAGAAAGGAAGTAAGGAAGAAGTAGGGAGGAAGTAGGGAAGACGTAGGGAGAAAGTAGGGAAGAAGTAAGGAGGAAGTAGGAAGTATGTAGTGGTAGACAGCAGGGAGCCACACACACACACACACACACACACACACACACACACACCACACAACACACACACAACCCACACACACACACACACACACACACACACACACACACAACACACACACACACACACACACACACACACACACACACACACACCACACACACACACTTAATAATTTTGATGGGAAGTTGCAGCCATAGGAAATATTGACTTTCTTAAAACTGCAAATATATAAGCATTGCAACACTTTAATGAATGGCTCATTTACCTTTTCATTTGTCCATTATGATATATCATTAATAGTTGATTCATAATATTTGGAGGATTGGAAAAAAGAACCCTGACTAACTGACACTGTTCTCTCCTACGTTTTTGTCCACCAGTGAAGAGGGCATATAAAGCTGTAGCCCCCCCCCCCCCCCCCCCCCTTGCCTCACCTTGCGGACCGTACTGGACCCCCTGAGGCCCGTAGTTTCCCATGGAGTTGTTCTGGGGATATGGTCCCATCCCAGCATGCATCTGGCCTCCAGAAGACTGGCGTGGAGATAAGGCGGAGCCAGGTTGTCCCGGGGACCCGTACGGAGGCATCTGAGGGTTACGCATGTACACTGGAGAGGATCGTGAGAGAACGTCATTCAGGGTTCTGCAGCTTAGGGCGCTTTAGATTTAACACTTCTTTGAAATACCCCTCGGAAATAAAGTTAGGACAAATTGTCTGCACATCTCTATGCAATTCGGATACCTGCATGATGTCAATGAGAGAAGCATACGTAATTTTATAGAGATAAGATCATTTATTTTAATAACAAATTAAGGCCTTTTTGACCAATACATTCAAGGCTTTTAACGCCCTTTTAAAGACTTTATTACGCTATCAGGACTTGCATGACCTTAATGCGAGAGGCATTATTTGAAAATAATATCTCAGAAGAAAGCCATAAATAACCAAAAAACCCAATTTTTTTTACTTTTGAAAAATGTATTTAAGTAATTTTTGTACCAATAATGCATTTTAGGCCCAATCCCAAACCGCCCCCTACACCCTATCCCTACACACTACCCGTCCGTTTGCGCGGAGGGTCCGCCACATTAAGTGCTGTTCCAAAGCAACGAGTGTGGAGGGGGAGTGGGCTATCAAGCCCTCAAACAGCGAGTCTGCATCGGTTCTGACTGGAGACCGGTCTCTACCTGCCCGGAGTCACGCTGTGTGTGGCCGTCAGGAAACAAGCTGTTAACAAGTAGTTCCAGCAAACATCCACTGATAAACTGCGATGTTAACGACCTCATGATGACCTCATATGTTTTTAACTTAGGATCAAACCTGTGTTTAGTCTAGAAAAAGGTAAATGTGTGCATTTTATTATAAAGTTGTGTATATTTACAGACTGTTGCAAAAACTAAGAAGCTTATAAACATCAGGTTTAAAATGAAAAGAACACAATTAAAGATGTTTGGAGTTTTATTTTAGTTATTAATTTTTAAGAGATGCTGATTTGAAACCGTTGTTACATACAGTTACGGCATTTCCTGTTTCTGCCGGAGAGAGGGGGGGCCGTCCCAAAGCTTGCTGCTGTATTTACTCCCTCCATCTGACAGGAGGGAGCCTCGTTGAGCTGCGAGTGTCACTCCACGGAGTTCACTCCGTCACGGAGGGGAGTGTGTAGGGGTAGGGTGTAGGGCATGGTTTGGGATTCAGCCATAGAGTGATCAATTCAAGGTCTTTTAAGACTTTGAGGTTTTGAATAAGATATATAGTTGTTAGTAAAACACCTCTCTTCTCTGTTAATGCTTAAGTTCAGTAACACATCATGTCGCTGTGTGAAGAACTTCGCTCTTCACTTCCTCACAAACACACAGTGTGTGTGCTGTTACCCTCGGTTGAGGAAGTGTTTACAAATACACACACACACCTACGAGCAGCTGAGGACGGAGCCCTGTTGCTGCTTCTTTAAAAACACACCTTATAGGCATGATTTGAACCCGTGTTGTGCAGAAAAACTCTTGATACAGGATGTTTAACACTCACCCCTTTCCTGGCCCATGGCTGACTGGTTCATGGGAGAGGAGTGCATGACGCTGTCTGACTGAACGCTGGGCGGCCGTGGAGGCATCTGATTACCTGAGGAGAGAAAACACACAAAGGATAAACTTTAAATGGACTTCCGAGTACATTTGTTCGTCTCTGTAGCAGCGATTTTTCGAGAAACTGTGTTAAATCTGTCAGGAAGAAATGGAAAAGACAGCTAACCAACTACTTTACTTTTACTGTTCCGACTTGTTGATCATAGAGTTATGGGAAAACATAGTTATGGAAAAAGGCATCTTTGTTGAAACACACACACGATTTTCACTGTCATAACTCCACTGTAGCTATAATAATAATAATAATAATAATACATGGGACTTTTATAGCGCTTTTCATGAAACTCAAAGACGCTTTGACAGAGAGTTAAGAAAAATAAAGACAAGAGAAAACAACAACAAAAATTTAAAAAAATGTCTACAAAGAAATACAAAAAGAGATAAACAAAACAGAAATAGGGGGGGAGGGGGGTCAGTGGTTGAATGCAGTGTTGAACAGGTGGGTTTTGAGTGATGTTTTGAATGCTGTGAGGGAGGAAGAATCTCTGATGGATTGGGGTAGTGAGTTCCAGAGGGTGGGTGCAGCAACGGAGAAGGCTCTGTCGCCGCAGGACTTGAGGGTGGTCCGGGAGGGGAGGGACAGGAGGTTTTATGACAATAAAAGCCTTGAATCTTGAATCTTATTAAAAACGACAACACTTTTTGTTGCTGCCCCTTGGTATTCTGCGAGCTGTAGTTTTATAACAACAGTTGTTACAACCACCACTAAATGGAGTGTCGCCAAATGACTAAAATCTTACAGATGTCCACTCCAATCTTTTGAAATATTGGCCATCAAAGCACCATAAGCCGATCAAATAAAAATAAAAACAGACACTCTGACAGTGTCCCGTTAATCTGCGCTAAACAATGAGTCGTCGTAACTTCTGAGTCTCTGCCGTCTGGAGGCTTTCTGGCACCATGTTGGGAGAAAACGTCCCATCTGGCACGGCACTCCATGAATTACAAATGTTATCTGTTATGGATTTGTGAGGGGAATTAAAATCTCTAGATCTGTCTGCTGTTAGTTTACTCCATGTTTCACACAGCATCCAACTCCATATCTGACAACAAAGCTCCTATTTTTTTAGCAGGTGTTATTTTTACCTGCAGAATAACTAGTATTATTAAATGGACTGTACTTACATAGCGCTTTATCCAGTCTTTAAGACCCATCAAAGCGCTTTACATTAGGGCTGTGCGATTATGGCTATAATCACGATTATTTTGGTCAATAATTGATATCACGATTATTAAAAACGATTATCCATTTACTTTGAAAACATCCATTTATTGAAAAAAAAAATGGAACAGTATGTTTTTAACAGTTGATTACCCTGAACGTTAAGTATAATTAAACTGAAAAACCAATAAAAAAAAAGAATTAATTTTTTTTTTTTTTTTTTTTTTAAATAATAATCGTTTTATTTCGATTACGTTTTCGTAATCGTTGCAAGCCAAAATCGAGATTAA